GTATTAAATTAAACGTCATCAAAACAAAATAATAGGTTTCTTGATTCCTGAATTAAAGACATTGCATGTTTTAGGTTTTCTTGTGCTGCTGGTTAAGAGAAAATAAGATGATTTTAATAACTAAGTAATTTTTTTTTTACTTCAAATGCTATTAAAAGGCTGTGTCCCTTCACTGCTCATGACTTCTTTTAATTTATCAATTTAATTAATGAATGAATTGAGTTGTATCGATATTATTTGTTTACTATGTCCTTGTTACACATTACACATATAGCAATAACAGTAAATTATGCATAATTACATGCAACTACCCCTACCCCTAAACCAAACCCTAACCCTATAATAAATACATAATTTTACTCAGATCTTAATTGTATAATTACACTGTAACAAGGAGACCTTAAAATAAAGTGTAACCATAATTCTTTAGTATGCAGAATACTATGTTTGGGTGAGTCAGAAACTGAGATAAGGTTAAAAGTAATGGTGCATATAAATATTAGTTTGTAATGCACAGAGAATAATTATAAACATTTATAGTACTGAGATAAACACCATCGTACGACCTACACCTACAGTACAGAAGCTCCAAAAAGACAAGAATGTCATTGCATCAGATAACAAAACGTCAAACCAGCTGGCATCTGCAAACGTGATGCTTGAGCTTTTCTCAGAACTAGTGTTATCTTTATTCTGAACAGTGAAGGAGAGTGGGATAAGATGTGTCGGCTGTTGTTGTCTTGCGACGGTATATTTAGAAAGAGTCCACCATACAAGCCAACAGCTACAACATTTTTAAAGTTAAAAACTTTTGCCTGTCAAATGTTTGATGTAATTTGACCGAGAATGTGTTAACAATAGAACAAATAGAACAAGAATGTATAACAGTCAACCATAAATTATGGTAATAAAGAAATTTCAGTTTTTTTTTACTTCAACATGTTTAATTCAATGTGTTAATTGTTTCTTTGTGAAATTTACTAGCAATTTCTGAGTGAAAACTCTTTCTAGACCAGTTTAGTTTTATAGTATTGAAGAGAAAGACATTTTCCTGTAGGGGGCAGCAATGTCACAGCCATCGTGTCGTTCTGGCAAATGCATGTAAATAAGTACTTTTATTGCATTATATGCATTTATTTAGTCATTTAGCAGACGCTTTTATCCAAAGCGACTTACAAATGAGGACAATAAAAGCAATCAAAACTAACAAAAGAGCAACAATATATAAGTGCAAATGACCAGTCTCAGTTAGCCTAACACAGTACACGCAGCAAGGTGTGTATATATATATATATATATATTATACACACACACACAAAGAAAAACAAGTAGATAGAATAGAAAAAAAAATAGAAAGCTAGTGTTTGTTTTTTGTTGTTTTTTTTAAATAAAATTTTTTAAAAGAAGATAAATATAAAGTAGAATTAAATTTCATGTGCATTTCAGGTACATTTTGCGACACTTCAGTCGTTATGTTTGAAATTTGTTATATGTTAAGGTTAAAATTTGATTTGCTGTTAATCATAATTTTGCGGCGTACTGTGAAGCCTCCTAGCGGCTGTTACTGTAAACGCACGTGCCGTCCCCGCTGACGTCCCCGCGTCCCGTTGAACTACCAGAGCGTCAGACTGCACGCGAGCGAGACCGCTTCATGCTGGTTCTCATCCGGTGCACGGCTCCTTTCGTGACTTAACCTCATCGGCTGGCAATGCGCGGACACTATTATTCACTTTTCTTAAAGGGGTCATATGATGCTGCTAAAAAGAACATTATTTTGTGTATTTGGTGTAATGAAATGTGTTTATGCGGTTTAAAGTTAAAAAAAAACATTATTTTCCATTGAGACTTTAGTCTTTGCAACTTTACAGATCTTCTTTATGCACCAAGAGCTTGTAACACTCCAAAGAGAAAGGAAAAATTGAAATCGCATCATATGACCCCTTTAAGGAAAGCCCCGTCGAACCGCTTGTTTCCCGATCTATGTATAGCTTGCACTTCCGGGTTTCCGGGCAAGCGTCTTTCCCGAGGATCAGCTGTGATGATTGAATGAGCAAACCGAGAGGAGGGAGGGAGGGAGGGAGAGAGAGAGAGAGCGACTCTTGAATGCCGTGCGGTGCTGATAATCGTTGACAAGCGCACAGTAACAGACAGCGTGGCAGGAGGATTCATGTAGAGGAAGCTGCGTCCTGCTGGCACTCAGCAGATCTCTTATTATAAGCTGCTGTTATGAGAATGAAGATATGTCAAAGGTGACTCATCCTGATGAGTTGTTTTTGGATCTGTAATGTAACGCAGCCCGGGTTGATTTTGTGATGAAGGTGCGCTGAGCTCGCATGAACCTCGGAGTCTCTATCCGGACGGTAAGGTATATTATATCTCGAGAGATTGTCGTGCGTTGCTATAGTTTGCGCGTCTGTCAAGCCTCGGAGCCGGAGCTGGAGAGAGAGAGAGAGAGAGTCAGGCGGGTTTTCACGATTTAATGAGTATTAAAGTGCTGCCGGTTGGACAATGAAGAAGTTCTTCGATGGCCGACGGGAGATGGTGGGCTCCGGGCCCGCGTCTGGAGCCGCTGCGGGGGGCGGCGCGGGGTCCGGCGCGTTTATCGGACGCGTTTTCTCCATTGGACGATATCAGGTGACCGCGGAGGAGACTGTGGCGGAGGGTAAGCGACTTTATGCGCTCATAAGGACAATCAGCTAATGAAATGTTCGTGCTGGTGATGCTTTTATGGTCTATGGTTAAATAAATACATAAATAATGATGCCTTATGAATGACTCCGAGCCTGTGGCGTCACTCCTCTCACTCATGCGTCATCTAAATATGTTCTGCCTCAGCTTTGCTTTAGTATTAGTTCGTTTTAATATAGTTTACTTTCATATTTAACACCAAAATGAAAGTTTGGAGAGCATTTCCTCACCCTCATGGTGTTAGGGACCTGTATGGCTTACTTTCCTCTGTGGAGGTCAAAAGGAGAAGTTTAGCAGAATGTCCAAGCTGTTCTTTTCCATTTAGTGAAAGTGGGTGGAAACTGGAAAGGTCAAGCTCCACAAAGTGACATTAAAGTAAATGAATTGACTCATGAATACGTTTTACCAGTTTTCTGAAATCACATGTTTATTTTGAGGAAGAGTTTAAAATTTAAATCATTATTCATTGAAAATCTTGCCCTAAGCCTGCATGCCGCCTGTCGACAGCAGGTTTGACATGATGAAAAAACTATTGATTCTTTCGTTTTGTAAGCCATATTTGTGTCTTTTGATCATTAAAGGAAGAGATCACCAAATATAAAAGCCTTTCATAATTTACTCACTTTAATGTTGTTCCAAACCCACTTTCTGCCATGGAACTTAAAAAAATCAGCCTTTTTCACTTATTATTTTTTATTATTTTTAATAATATATTTATTTTTCAGCCATTTTAGATCATTTTTATGCTTTTGTAGTATGGAAAAGAGCATTGTAAACATTCTACAAGATACCTAATTTCATATTCCACAGAATAAAGTAAGTCATCCAGGCAGAAGGACATGAATGTGAGCGTATGCCAACAGTAATTCCTTTAAAACATGTGTGTTTCCCAGGGTTTCTGTAAGTTACGTGCAGCCCATTGTGGTTCTGGAGCAGAGCATGGAAAGTTCTGAATGCACAGGATGCATTACATGAGTCATCAGCTTTAGGTCTCTTAAGCAGATTTGGAGTCATTCCCCTCACTGATGCTCTGAGATGTCAGCAGAGGAGCCCTAATAAGGTGTCAGGAACTCAACACTGGTTATGGTGTGAGAGGAATTTTAAGCTACATCTTACTGCTCACAATGTAAAGACGGATGATATTATCAAGGCAGAGAGAGTAGAGCGGCTGTCGTATGTTCATGTCATGACCTCCGTGCAGAGAGAGTTCTGAATGCATTACACAAGTCATTATTGCCTGTAAGCACATTTGGAGTCACTGTGTCTCAGGGGAGACCCGAGGCATCCTTCCACTTGTTTGTTTTTTATGTTATAGGGAAAGTCTATTACCGAGTGTGATTTTTGTATTTGATGATATGTAAGTATGACATGATATTTTTGTCCATGAAGGGATTTTGCCATAGAATAATGTTTCTGTTGGAAACATAGCTGTTAACTGGAGAGCAGTGCATTGTGATGTCCTCAGATACTTGCACTTTATGAACATGTTGACTTGATCTACTTCTCATGAAATTTCTTAACAAAACAGGGCTTTCAAAATCTGCTTTTGATTTTGTCTTTCATTCCGCTGCCATCCCAGTCAAACATATTTTGAATGCATTTCAAACTTTTCATGGGTATTTAGAGGCATCTCTTAAAGGGATAGTTTCTTTCTGTTATTTACTCACCCTCAAGTTGTTCACACACATAAGAGTTTTATTTATCTTCAGAACACAAATTACGATGCTTTTTAATATTCTCTCATCCTTTTTGACCAATGAGGTTTGTTCTCATCAAGCAAGCAGTTGAGTTTCTGTTTACCATATTTGATGAGTTTTTATGTTGATTGATGTTTATATGTAAATAAAAACCTAAATAAATCTGTTAATCATAGCAGTCATATTTATTCAGAAGACTTAAATTAAACCACTTAATTCATATGGGTTATTTTACAATGTTTTATTTTTTTCTGTATTGCGTGAAAATTTTGGTTGAGTGTGGACGGGCAAAAATAATGAGAGAATATTAAAAATATCTTAAATATCTATAGAAGAATTTTATTTTTTTGGGGTGAATTATCCCTTTAAATCTTTTAAAATATCAGATATGACTTCACTAAGCAAGGTTAATTCAGTAAAATGCAAATAAAGTAAATTGTCGTGGTGAGAGTTCTCAAAAACGTTTTACGATATTTGTATAAAAAGTACCGTTTACCTTGAAAATATATAATTAAATGTATAACTCAGTATTTAAAAATGTTTAATAACAATTAAGATCACTCACATGTATTCAGGATGTAAGAATAATATTTTACTACTGTTGATGGTTACACCACATGACATTTTTCTAATTAAATTGGAACTTTTTTTTTGGAGAACCGTATAAAGTCAAAGTGAGTACAAGAGAATTTCTCTAGGAACTTAACCTTGATTTAAATTTTTTATTTTTTTTTGTGGACAAATTTAGTTTCTAAACAACATTTAATAGATGAAAGGCAGAACATGCACTGTATTTCAGTCCCTCACATTTGTCCCAGGGGAGTTTAGGAAGCCTAACACAACAGCTGAACTGTGAATGATTTCAGCTGGCTCTTCTGAAGAACAGCACCCAACCTTGTGCTCATGGCAGTGGGCCACCTTAGTACAGTCGCCGGTTATGCTGTCTAAGCCATTTTGTGAAGGGAAAACGGTCAAGGTCTAAAGGCTTTGACCCTGAAGCACAGTTCAGTGGATGTTTTACTTCCGCCTAGTCGTTCAGATGAGTTTCTGAGGCCTTCGAGCTTTAACTCAATGTTGTTAAACTATTACTCAGTCAGGCTGTCATCTTTAATTTGCTAAAAGACTGACAGAAACATTTTCGAGGTTCCAATGAACACCCAGCACACACACACAAACACACACACACACACACACACACACACGCACACACACACGCACACACACTTGTTTACCTGAAAAAATCTATGCAAATAGGCAAATGCAGACATAAAATGTTTGGCCAAACTCATTCTTATTCAGGTAACTATCTATGAACAGGTCAACAGGTATCCCCAGCTTCTGGATAGATGAGAAAACACAATTATTTTATGACTTGGCACTTTAGTATGAATTCATACTATGTGGTTTGTATGATAATGTAAGATTTTTAGAAGAAAAAAACAAAACAAAAAACTGGTAGGGATTAGTGTTGTCATTATACTGGAATTTCTAACTTGGAAAAATAGTGGTTTTTGATACCATGAGGAAAAACTGCCACAACATTAACGGCATAAATTTTTTGATTTTTATTGAAAGATACCGTAAATATAACAAGGCTAGAACATGATAATGAGGTATATTTTTACATTAATGGTAAAACACTACAGAAAAACATTTTGCATATGTTTACTTCAAATGTCTTGGCATGAACCCACTGTCGAAGAGGAGAGAGCAAGAAAGCAAAAATCTATATGTTTGACAGCACTAGAGATGCACTGATACAACATTTCGGTGGTGATACCGATCTTAATCTCTCTTAAAATACAGTATAGGGTTATGATAACCAAAAAAGTCCTGAGCAAGCTCAAGCTTTGATCTCTGCAAACCAAACTATCACTTTAATTAAATAATATTTTTTTCCCCACTACTAAACGATTTTATCATTAGCTAGCTCCACACTGGAGAGCTGCTAAATAACAGAAAATCAGGTTGTAATTCTAACTGAAAGCGACACTGATTCTGGTTTTTCATGTTTAATACTGTAAAGCTGCTTGATTTAAGGCTATCTATTACATAAAGTACTTAAATAAACGTGCTGTGACTGGACTTTACTGGACTACTGAACCGCAGAGCTCGTGCAACATCCACATTGCTGTAATTAGGTGCTTTCTTAACAGCTGCTTTCTCACCGCTGTCCGTTTTTGTTGTGTTTATTTCGCTATTTAGAGGAAAGTGCGCAGCATATATTTACATATTCATCCAAACGTCGCTCAGCAGCTTTAGGCTGTGTTTGCTCTGAAGCGCCAGTGTTGCCAGATTGGAAATGTCCAAGTATCGTACCAGAAGCTCAAAATTATCGTATTTGGAAGAAAAGTATCGTACATGAGTCAAACGTACAGAATACAGCTATTTATCTAAACCAACAACTTTTTGACACAACCTGCAAATTACCACAATAGATAAAAAACTAGATAAAACTCCACCTGCGAGTCTCTGTCTTCGGAAGCCTGCGTGTTGCCAGATGTTGAGGGGGTTCTTGTCGTCGTGGACCGCAAGATAGTGCTCGTTGGTTTAAAAGCAGGGCGCACCCTCCTGAATTCTTAACACACGAGTGTGCACAAGTGCATTTATAGTGTCTGTAATGAGCCGATTTCGTGGATGAGTATAGAAACCGTATGACTACAACTGCCATAATTTGAAGAGTCACAAAATTCTGAAATTATCGTACATTATGGGATTTTTTAAGTTATTGATCGTACATCGTACAGAGGTCAAAATTATCGTACAAATATGATAATTATCATATGTCTGGCAACACTGTGAAGCGCTGTGTCTTCTTCTCTTGAATTGCATCCGGGAGAGCTGAATTACAGTCTTGCGCTACAGCGCCACACTGGTCAAACTGCATTACTGCAGGCTCTTTCACTTGGTCATGAGATCAAATGACTACTCGACAGCAAAAATATTTGTCGACAATTTTTTATTGTCGACGTTGTTGATAATGTCGACTAATCGTTTCAGCCCTAGCGGATAGTATGAATAATTGCTTTATCGGCTGATTATTATATATATCATACACACACCCTCGCAGTCAAAACTGATTACTGAGCATGACCTAAAAACTAAAAATGCAAATTAGAGTTAATTGTCCAGTCAACAGATGTGACTGTAGGCTCATTACCCACAAAGCTGCAGTAAACTCTGCAATGATGCTTGACTTCAACAGCTTCATTATGGGAAGCTCAGCGGTTAAGTGTCTATGAACTATACAAGTGGATTGAAGTAAATTGGATTAACA